TGCTGAACATCTTGAGGGAAAAAGATGATGTCACTCTGCAAATAAAATATGAATCAATGGAATTTTAGCACACAGACACTCACAAACAGAAATCAAAGTAACACTAAGTTGATCGTTCATTGACACCTGTGTTTCTAATGGAATCATCTTATACTTAACCAATAAGGATGAACAGAGGGATGGCCATTTCACATTGTATAAAAACTCATTAGTTTCTGCAATTTCCTTAAACTATTACAACCTCTTTATGTCTCTAATAAAGAGTACAATTAAGTTTGAAACTGAATTAAATTGGATTAGTCTGTGGTAGAGTTACAATCATGCTGTAAAATGCAACAAATAGCAACTTAAACCAGTTTCCTTAAGGCAAAAATATTATCATTGACTGGCTATTAGCTTAGGCTGAAACAATTGACTTCAGTAGGTACTAATACACATTAATGGGCAAACTACCTTTCCAGTTGGGGTCATGTGAGTTCCTTCCTCTCCAGGGCAGTGACATTGTTCTGCATTATCAACTTTGGATGGCAAGAACATCTGGAGGCCTGACTGCTTAGTAGTGGGAAAATCTTCCTCCATTTTTTCCACACTTTCATCATCTTTCTCTTCATCTGCAGATCTTTTCTTTTTATTTCTGCCTGGTGGGTCAATCTGTTGTTTGCCAGGGAAATACCACTGTGGATACTTCTTTTTATCACCTTCATCTCCATCAGCATTTCCCTTTCCCCCAAAGCCACCACCACTACTGCTCCCCCCAGATGAACTACCACTACCACTTCCAGAGTTGCTGCTGCATCCATCACTGCTACCACTACTGCTTCCTTCACTATCAACACCAGAATCTTTTGGTTCCCCCAAGTTGGAGTTGGGTTTCCTCCTCTTGGATGGTGCTGGTTTTATGTGGTTGATAGATTCGATGATCTCTTCAAAGGAAAGACATGACTGTTTTGGAGCACACCTCCTGACGCTTCTTGGTTTTCTTTCTTTGACTGTTTTAGATGTTTTCTTTGCCTGCTTGTGCTGCACTGCAGGGAGGTCAGGCACAATGATGGACCAAACATTTCGCTTTTTCCTTTTAGCAGCATGCCTACAAGTTAAAACATATATTTACAAAGGATTAAAACTGTAAACACAAGAAATGTCAGCACAAATTCCAAAACCATTCTCATTACTCAAAGGATTTAATTTGGGGGTGTAAAATGAGTAAAAATCAAGTACTGTACACCATTTCACTATCTGTTTCACATCAATTTACACTCTTGCTGATGAAATCCCTAAGGAAATCCAAGATACAAACCTTCTGGGAATGCTTTTGTGCTTTGATTCAGTTTTAGAAAGCTGCCCTGCTTCTTCAACTTTTACTTCAGCTGTTTCATCATTTGTTGTTTCTTCTTTTGTAGAGATGTCATCTTGAACCTCTATAACTTCAGATGAAGCTGAAGGAGGTTCTAATGAGAACAAATCATCTGGACTGATGGAACTCTCTTGTACAGAATATGGGATCGTCAAAATATTGAAATCAAATTCCTCTTTGGCCTTTACATCTGTGAAATAAAAATATTTACATTGTTTTAAAAAAAAACCTTGCACAAGGACTTTGATAAATTACAGCGACCTTCCATTGAACAATGGATAAAAAGTTAGGAAAACTGAAAAATATTCATTCTTACATAACTGCCCTCTTTTTCCCCTGCAATAACTTATCTAATATAACTAATCTCTCTGCACTTGCATCATTAGAACCAAAGATAACCAAAGGCGAAGGCACAAAATAGACCAAATAGATTAAAAATTTAACCATGTTTTATCTGATAAACAAATTCTTAAAAAATTATAAAACCCTCAGAAACTTCACCAGGGATCAAAATGTAAAACAACAAATTATTGATGCACACGATGGGGACAAAGACAGCCCTTTGAACGGCAATTCATGCAAATAATTGATGCGCGGACACCGAAACCAGACGTTATTATCACAAACTTCCTGTTTCGAGTCATATGACTGGAAGAAAGCGAAAGCAGTCATTCATAATCCATAATCTTGCGCCGTGAAGGGCCTAAACCACATTATGTATACAGCTAACTCTGTATATATTTACTACGATCTCTCTTCATTTCCTTTATAGGTTTTCACTCAGATGTAACAGATAATTAACGGTTTCCACAGAACATCCACCCTTGTACATGTACAATTCGGGACCAAATGGTAAAGTCACATGACCGAGAAAGAAATTATTGACACGCAACCACGAAAAACGCAAACAATCCCACAGAAAACGTGGTCTTTCGCAACATTCACCAATTTAACTAAAGGAAAAGACGTTCTCAAACTCTGATAGATGTTTTGTAGCGATTTTAACAAAAAGCAGAGGATTTCAAGCTACGTCACACCCACGAATTTCTTTAGTAAACAAGTCGTTCTTTAAACATCATGTCGAAAAACACCTTTTCTGTGTTATCTCACTTCCCGATTAACTTACTCACCTGTCTTAAAATCGTCTACTTCGAACACTTTCGTCGTTTTCTTTTCGCATCTGTTTTCGGTGTTGGGTGAAAAGAAAGTAATTTCCTCTTTCTGCTGCCAGCGAAGTGAAAAGGGATGGCTATTGTCGTCATTCTCGACGGCTTCTTTGGAATTCTTTTTCTCAGGTTCGATTGCAACGCGCTGTTTTACTTTCCTTTGCCTTGGATCTTCGTCTAGGCCAGCGCAAACGCCGGGCCAGGTTTCCCAATGTGGACTGTCTAGATTTGCACATCTTTCGAGAATCGTCACTGAGGAGGTGGTCTTAAAATTCAACGCTATCGAACGATAGTATTCCTTCCCGATATCCTGCACTTGATGGACGCTTTCTTCTTCGGCAGCTAAGCTTACTGAGCTGCATCGTGCGTATACTGATTTTTTTTCCAATTTGAGCGGCATTCCTTCAAATGTACCTATATCTGAAGCTGGCGGAGCGTTGGTTGATAACGTCATTGCCTCAGACCTGTTGGGCGCCATGATGTTTCGTTATAGGTTTCGACTGTGTAAATCGTCGCGAGTGAAGGCTTCCCGAGTACCTTCTATTGCATACACGCTCTTATAATAGCGTTTTTAACGCTAATTTCTGATTTTTGTGGGAGAAAAAGTGGACAGAACAACTTTAAATCCACGTCGAAGAGTAACTGTTCTTCTTTCGCCTCGCCGTTTCGCTAAACGTGTTATGGGTGCGTTTGGTATTTGAATATGACCCACAATGCACTCCGTTATACTACGTCATATTTCTATTTCAGGATGGCGAGAGGACAGCCTCGACTCTGACAAAACAGCGCCATGCAGAAAGGAAAAAAGTTAAATTTAGATTTGAAATGATGCCAGCGATCGCGAGTCTTTGCAGCTAGTACTTAGAGAATAAAGTCTCCTTCGATCTTATTGTGAAAAAAAATTTGGGAAAAATAAAGATTTTTTTGTGTGAGAAGACCTTTAATTACAACTTGTAAACCCAGTCCTAGTCTCTTTCCACAGTAACTGACAGCTGGCTTTTAAGGTTTTTTGACCGCGCGAGATATGCAAAACAAACATGGCGGCTTGATACGATCGCACGATTGTCATCGGAAAAGGTGTGTTCCAAACAGTTTAACACAATGCACTTTTTATGTGATGGAATCTACGGTCTCTAGCAACTATATCCGTAATATTCATAGGCCTTCTACGCCTGAAAATGAGGTCAACCGAAAAGAAAACACTGTGGACAAGATTGCTAAAGGGAGACAGATTCGAAAGTCTACGCATGCTCAGATACCGATCTTAGCAAAAGTTCTATTCCATTACGTAATGTTTTGCGACAAAGAAAATAGAGATCTTTCGAGTAAGATTTATCGCGTTTCGTTCAGTAGAATTTCCTGAGATTTGCCGAAACGTTAAACACATTTGTGCCCTTCGTAGTGCCCGTTGAAAAAAAAATCGTAAGACCAAATTTTAGATAGAGGAAGAAAACACAAAATTGCAAATAAAGAGGAAACTGCCTTGGTAACACCTACCAAGGCTTTTAAATGATCGGCGGGAAAATTTTCTCAAAATGAGAAGCAGATTGAAGAAAATAAAAGGCAAAGCCAAATTATCGCTGACGAGCGTCTCCCTTTATAAAGCCTTAGCTTAATAACGAAAATCATTTTTTATTAATAATATTTACTACAGCAATTCCAACGATAGTTTGAACCTTGCTCATTGCCTTTTAATGGCTTTTAGCGACCTCGAAAAGCGAAAACATAAAAATTTATTTATAGAAAAACGTAACGCTGGCGCGCGCTAACATCGAGCAAAAACCTTCTGGAGCCTCCTCAAAACTACCCCGGACACATAGAAACGTTTGACAGAAGAAAGGTCTGTTTTTTTTCTTTTCCAAAGCTCAAAACTGGAAATTGTTTGTATTCTAAATGCCACAGTTTTCTCCATACAAATGATTCTACTAAGGGCTAGACAGTCTCTCCTTTTAGGTGAAGTCAGTAAAAAAAAACAAACAAACAAACTAAACAACTCTGTGAAAGATAAATTGATGTTAGGAAGCCGTGGGCTGCTCTAGGAGTGAGAGGTTCGAAACTTTTCGAGCGCCTCACTTTAAATGCTCCTCGCGACACACACTAAGTTTTTCTGACCCGCGCGACTAACTTCGCCGGAAAGGAGCGATTGCTCGTAGTCTATCTTCGACTGTTTCACAATAAAAATACACCGCCAATTCAGATCAATGTACGCGAGTAATAAACTTGGGCTAGCTGAGATTTCTGTACAGTAGGTTTAGCGACTTCAATTTTCTAATAACCAAGCCAATCAATATACCACAGAGTTAAGCAGTCCACAGAAATGAGATTCAACAAACATTGACATTCCATGAAACATCAATTTTATTAAGAAGAAATTGTCACATGCAGACAAAAAACTGGAAGATGAGGTGGCTTATGGCTGGTGTACAATTTACAGAATAATAATAATAATTTCATTTTAATCTCTCACTTTCACAGTAAAAGAGATCCGACACAATTTTACTCTTTATTTAAAATAAAAAAAGAAATTAAAAAATGAAGCTAACTAAGATTGCTTCAAAATTGTTTTCTTCTTTTTTTTCCTGGATGCCTCAATCAACTCCCTGCAAAGAAAATTTAGAGAACTATATTATCTGTATCGACTTATTACCAAAATGCAACACTAGTTCAACTTATTCCTGCTGACAATTTAACTCATTTCGCAGGAATTCTTATGCATAAACTGAAAGTGTGATGTTTAAAAAGAACTTAACCTAGAAGAACAAAACAAAACAGCAGCACAGTAGATACATCATGTCACAGCTTCTGGAGTGATTATACAAAAAAATCAAACTATTAACTGTTTAACTCCCATGATCCAATTGTTAATTCTCCCCTCTAGCTGCTGCACATTTCCTTGTAAATTACTTACAAGAATTGGATGTTAGATCAAGGACATTATGATAAATTCTACCTGATAAGTTTGAGTATTCTCATAATCTGTTTGCTGGATAAATGTGTGGATATTATAGGGAGAAATGACGTGTTAATTACTTCAGGTTAAAAGAATAAAAAAAATTAATTAAGAAAAATGAGGAAACAAAGGTATCAGTTATCTTACCTCTTTCGTTTAGCCATATGCATGTCATATTTTGAAACTGTTTTAATTGTTGTTCGTGATGGAGGGGCCTTGGACAATTTCTTTCGAGATTTCCTTCAACACAAAAAGAAGCACATTGTTCACATGGGACTTGGATTCAGGGGGCATCATCTGGAGCAGGGCCAATGTCCCCTGAATAGAGGTAGGGTTGGGGTTTGTTTTTAATAATTAACCACTGAAAAATGCCAAAATGTCAAACCGTTACTGCCCCTAAACTACTTATGGTTTGGAGCTTTGACTCCAGATGCAATCACCTAGACTGATAACCTTTGGCAACCAATTTAAATTCATCATCATATGGTATAAGATATAAAAAAGGTGATATTGTGAAAGCGGTCTCAATTGTGTTTAGTGTACACTTAATCATTGTGGTCAGTCATGTTGTGAGTGGTTAGATATCCCCTGAATGGAGGTTCAGACTGGGCTTTGAGACCCAGAAAAAGTGTCCCTTTCCCCAACATTGCTGATCCTGCAATTTTGCAGAACTCTTGCCACATATGAACCCCGTATATGGCCTAGTGCACCATTGGGTTTTCTGTATCACAGTAGTCATGCACACAGCAGACAGAAATAATCTGAAGGTCTCAAGTCCTCATGGGGACCCAAATTTTTCCTCAGTCCCCTACCTATGAAATGTGAATACTGTATTATCTTCCTTAAGTTCTAAATCTCACCTGGCTGGCTTTTTCAACTTCAGCATCCAGTCAGGGATTTCACATCCTGAACTCTTCATTACATTTGCAATACTATATGACAAAAACCAAATCATATTTAGCAGTTAATGATACTAGGCAAGAAGTCCAGAAGGGAATTTATTCTAATGCAGTGACATGTTTCCAATGTACATCATTCTCAGATGAGACTGAAGAGTCCACAATAAAAATTCCAAAACTTTTGAGGATTAAAACTCTTTACACCCGAACATCAATATGCAAATTCTCCATGCTGTTCTGTGCACACTTCCTATAGCTGGAAGGGAGAATTTGTTTAACAGTCAAGAGCCCTTTTAGATGGTGGTCATTTCCTTTATTCTTGCAACCTTAATGTTCAACTCTGGGGTGAAATTGTATGGAGAAATGAAATGTTTGTCACTCCTATGGTTAGAGAGTCAAAAGTTTCTACAATTATAAACTGAGGTGAATTTAAAGAAGCCAATAATTTTTGTAAAGTTGATGAAAAACTATATCCTTATCGCACACCTGCGTAAATTTGTGGCATCATCTTCTGTAAAAAATGTGATAGCCTTTCCTGGTCTACCAGCACGACCTGTTCTACCTGAGGACACAAGAACAGATTTCTAGTGAATTTGATCGTCAGATATCGAGACATCATCAGCAGTTCTCCCTTCTAAATGCCCTCTACCTGACCAGTTGATTAGTTTGAATGTTCATATCAGCTTTTTTCTGGAAAATGTACTGATTTTTTATCTTAATGTTACATGTTTACCACTTCTTACTTCTTCTAGTTTAGAGGTCAATAACTTTCTTTCCTTAACCCTTTAACTCCCAAGATCTGATTGTTTATTCTCTCCTCCTGCTGCTACACAATTCCTTGTAAATTAGTTGCAAGAATTTGGTGTAAGATCAAGATAAAAACTTCTTCTTGATTTAGTTGATCAAGTTTTAGTTTTCTCATCAACCGTTTACTAGAAAACATATAGATATTGTAGAGAGAAGTTACACGTTAGTCACTTCTGGAAGTTAAAGGGTTAATAGCAGACTGAATAAGAGGCAAGTTAACAATGATTCATTAACATTTACTTGGCTGGTCTGCCTATCAAATTAATCTCTTATAAATAAATTTCCTGACAAGAGTTGCGGAACAAAGAAGGGAATCGGAGCCAACACAAAATAATATGGTGTCTTTGACAGACCTAAATACTGATCTTCATGAAGGGTTTTTAAAAATATTTCATACCTATTCTATGAATATAAGCCACTGATGATGTGGGAAAATCATAATTTATCACAAGATTCACTCCTTTGAAGTCAATTCCGCGGCCCATGAGTTCAGTTGCTATAAGAACCCAGATCTGTCAAAACAACAACAACAACAACAACAGAATGATGCTACTGAGTTGAAATTATTTGGTGCTAACTCATTTAAAAGTAACCCTTTACACCCTAACATCAGTATGCATAACCTCCATACTGTTCTCCATAAACATCCTGTGGTGCTGTCAAGGAGAATTTGTTTAATGATCAAGAGCTTATCAAGTAAGTGATCATTCCCTTTTTTCTCATGACCTAAACGTGTGATTCAAGGCATGATATTGTAAGGAGAAGTAAGACACAGGTCACTCTTTGCTGTTTGCTGAGGTAAAAAAGGACACCAAAGAATAAGGTGTAATCCATTAGAGTACAAAGACTGTTCAAGATGGAGAAGTTTAACACAGATAATGAAAGAACTAAAGAAATTCAGGCTAAATTTTTTTCTAATGTTCAAATTGAGAACTGAACCATTAATAAACCAAATTTATGTCACCTCAGAGACCCTTTATTTTCTCTTTGATTGTCAAACAAAGTGTAATCTTGCATAGAGCACATCCCATGCTTTATTATGTAAATTAAAGTAAAACAGCTGTTGACATAGTTAACATACATACCTTTCCAGTTCTGAAGCATTTCACCACATTGTCTCTCTAAAAAAGAAAATACAGCATAGCATATGTAATCCTTTACACCACAACATCAGTATGTATATTCTCCACACTCTTCTCTATACATCTCCTTTGGTGCTGATAAGGAGAATTTGCTAATCATCAGGGCCAAGTTGTTTAAAGGCCACTTAGCACTAACCCAAGGTTAAATTTTAATCCAAGCTTGTTTATTTCCTTGTTCAAAACCCTTTTTGGGATAATTTTCTCTACTTTTTTTAGAGCATCCAATTATCAAATTGTAGACAAAAAATGTTTATACTGAATTTTCTTTTACAGCTTTTAGATCTGAAATCTGATTTCACACTAACCCTAGCATATCTTTACCCAGCTTACAAACAAACCAGCTCTGAGCTTCTTAACACTGCAATCATTTCCTTTATCGTCATGATCCTAATGAATTATTAAGCAGTATTACTATTTGGAGAAATTCAATGATGGTCACTCTCAGGGTCTTAAGGGTTAAGAACAAGGTTCTCCTCAAGTCATAAATGCAAGGCTAGCAGCTCAGAGAATGAAACACCAGACTAGATTCTCACCTGTGCTTGTGTTCTGTCAGAGTGGATCACATCCACATTGATTCCATCATAAATAAGTTCATGAAACAGTTCCTTAGCTCTATCTTTTGACTGGACAAATATTAACATTGGAGGTTGGAAGCCCTGTTTGGAAGAAAATAGGCTAAATTTAGCCATTGAAAACCCTATATATATGTTAAATGGTTTAAGGAAACTTTGGTTTAAAAATAATATTAAGTAAAGAAATTATCCACACAAGTGCACCAGTTGAAAATTTTGGCAATTGAAGAGAAGAAGCCTGAAGAAATTCAAGCTTTGACAAGATTTGAACCTGCTTCTTCCAGATGATAGATGGGCACTACTGCCAACTGAACTACAAAGCCACATGTTAGGGGAGAGGAAAATTTTTTGTGAGGGTTTTTCTTCCCATAAAAGAATTTGATAACACCTTGTAATGAATACAATTATTATTATTATTACAATCATTATCGTCATCATCATTATTTCTATCATTGTACTCAATTGCCATGCTAAATTCTGCTATGGTTGTCATGGCATCACAAACTGTCATTCAATGTGTTCTTTTCAAGAACTGTAGTAAGTTGGAAAAAAAACCATCACACTACAGCAAAGACTTTTATCATATCACAACAGATGATCATTCTCTTTACCTTTTGGACAATATCTCTTACAGCAAGAAGTTTGCCAGCCTCCTGTCCAACAAACAGTAACTCTTGCTCTACAGTCTGGGTTGCAGAGTTTCTGAAATAAATTAACATTTGTAAAGAGTTTAAATATTGTGTCCCCAAACATCTGGGAAAGCTCCTGTCATTGTTAATAACTGCAGATTATCACATGGCACATTTTTTCCATTAGAAACTCTTACATTAGTTTTCCCTTTGCTATTGGTGTAAAAATTGGGCACTCAGATCTTTGCAAACCTTCTTCATTGCCATTAGGGGGTAAGATTTTACGGTTCCTGTCATCTCTAGCCATGGTAAAAATTTTTTTCTTTTTTTAAGATACAACATTTTGTTGTGTATAGTATATACAATGTAGTATCCAGTTTTGTTTTATATAATTATAAAATATTGCTACACAAGAAACTGTGTGGTAGTTAGAAGGACATCTTTAGGATTTTAGTGAAAACAAAAATTTCTGGAGAAGAATTAAGAGGATCTTGGATCACTGATGATTCAAGAGGAGTTCTGAGATTATTTAAAGGAGAAAGAGAGAAATACAATACCTGATGCCAATTGTAACTTGAACAACATTGTCCAGGTGAATCTGTGCCCATTCATCAATACCATTGGACATAGTTGCACTGAACAATGCTCTTTTCACTTCTGGTTTGTCACAAGCTTGATAAATGGTGGCTATCTGTATTTGGAAAAAAACACTCATTAGTAAGTTGCACGAGACTTGGCTCTAGTACAGACTTTTTACCAAAATGAGAGAGACAATTTTCTTGAGTGAACAAAACAGCTAAATACAGATATCTTACTTGTTCCCTAAATCCATCCTTGCCTTCTTCAAAAAGTTTATCAGCCTCATCAAGAATTAACCACTCCACACTGCAACAAAAGCAATCAAAAACACCATTTAGTGAAATAAGACTTAAGCATTTTTTGAATCACCATTTTATGACTTAAGGTGGCACAGTGGTGAATTTAAAAAGTGGGCCCTGTTGTATACTGTATTGTATAACTGATAAACTTAAAGAGATATACTTATGAAGCTCAATTCCTGGTGGATCCTGAGACAACAGATGTACCAATCTGTTTGGTGTAGTCACAAGAATATCTAAAATAACATAGAAAAGTTTTCAATTAATTCTCTCTTCCAGCTACTTAAATTAGTTTTGAGAATTTAATATTACAGTGAAACACCCTACAACTGATATGTTTTTCATCACTTGTCTGCTAAATTATATATTGAGATTATCAGGAAAAATTGCATTTTGATCACTTGTGATAGTCAATGAATCAACAACAACCCAAGTCCATTTACAAGAGGTTCCTTTTGAAATAAAAAATGTCATGTTTAGCTAAAAATTTTAAGAGCATATGTGAGACAGAATAGCTTTAAATCTTACCAAACCTCTGAGAAGACTTTGATCCAAAGCTGTTTGAGGAAGCTTTAGCTTTCGTTAAGAGATGGATTCTAAACTTACGGCCATTGGACAGGTGGCAAAACTCATGGTAAATCTTCAAATAATTGAGAATAAATATAATTTCTATCCATTAGTCATTTCATAAAATTATCTTAACCCTTTAACTCCCATGAGTGACCAAGGCAGAATTTCTCCTTACAGTATCAATACAATATCAACCAGATAAGTAATGAGAACAAAGGAAAATATCAATTTGGGGATAATTAGTTGATCCAGAACTAAATTCTCTGAACTAACATTATAAGAATTGTATGGTTGACAGTAAGGAGAAATACAAATTTGATCTGGGAGTTAAAGGGTTAACATGCCTCTATGACATCCAGTTTCTTCTCTGCACCATCTATTTCTTCAAAAGACCAAACTTCCAGGCTATCAGTTGGTGACTTCATCAATAAATTTTAAATACAAATTGTTATTTAAAGACCATGTTGTAGATTAAAATGGCATTTCCTTTGAGACAATTTCAAATTAACTTGATTGATTTGTATTTTTCTTTGCTCGATGCAATAATTTTTGCTCAAAGGAATATACTATTCTCTTTTCAAACTAAACTTCTTTAAAAGCATTTTGACCAAAATTTATTCAGTCCACAAGAACTTAAAGATCCAAAACATTAATGCTACATTGATTCAAAACAGAGTCTCTTCCAGGGATACTTTCCATCAATAACATTGAAATCTATTTAACTATCATCATCATCATCATCATTGTTATTACTGACTTGTCATCATTGCATTTGACAAATGTTAATCGCAATTCACCTGTTGTGCTAATTCTCTGGTTGGAGACACCACTACAGCTCTGAATCCTTTTCTGCGAGAAGACTAAAACCAAAAGAAAAGTACTGTGAAAAATGCAACCATTTCAAAGCCTTCTTGAACAGGCCTAAGCAAAATAGTCTAATTCATAACACCACAAAAAAAAAGATTTTATACAAAAGGAGATTAAAATCTTCTTGTACTAATTGTGTTCTTTTTCCTGAATCATTTCTTTTGATCACTTGTGGTGGATTACTATGATCACATTGACTCATTGTATTTTGTAAATGTACTGCAAATGATTTAATTACCTTCAAATGATAAAGAATTGGTAAAATAAAAGCTGCTGTTTTTCCTGACCCAGTAGGAGCACAGCATAATACCTCTCTTTTCTATAAAGAAAGTAACAGCAGAAATTCTAAACTACAAATAACTTAATCACTAAACATATATGCAACAACTTTGTTATTTAGCTAAAATATACCCTTGAAATAGACTGAGCATGTCAACTAAAAATTAAACAGTCATAAACTTCATTAAAACATACTACAGTTCCCCTCTACTGACTGTTGGACAGCTATCGGCCAACATATGACCAGCAGGCTACTGAAAGGTTACCAGTTGGTTAGTAATGTGCAACATGCAAAGAGAGAGAGGGCTGTTACCATGTTACTTGATAGAGTACATCTTGAAGCCAACATTTCCACTGAAGTTTAGACAATATATAAGGTAGTGCAATAATGGATACCAACAACTTACTGGCAGAACACCAACAGGTTACTGACTGTCAGCCACCTGTCCACCTACAGGACCCATGTTGGCCAGGATTTGGGTGAACAGTCCCCCAAATATTGCCTGACTGTTGGTCATCTGTTGGCCAAAAGTTGGCTGACAGGTTTTTGCACCAAAACATATAATGACAGTACAGAACCAAGTAATGGTTCAATCAAGATGCACTTACATGGATCATAAGAGGTACAGCCTGCATCTGGATGGGAGTTGGTTTGTGATAACCTCTTTTGGTTACATTCTCAATCATGTAAGAGGCCAGTTTATACCTGCATAAATACCATGTTGTTAATACATAAAATAAATGTGAGTCAGATAATTTCCTTGTGTAGTCTGATTGTCTGGCTGAGGTTAGCTCTAGGAAGGCTTCTTGTCAGTTGTGATGACTGAGCGACTGGTGTTTTGAAAACCTTGGTGGAAGTCATCATCAGGGTCGCCTCAACACCGCTCATGATTTCTTCTATGGTTGTCAAATGGTTTGTCATTAATACCAACAACAGCCCTCCTCATGATGAACCTCACCTGGACAATCAGACTTCACCACTGAATGTCTCTCCCAGGTTCACACCAATCAAACTGAAAGTCAAATGAATTGTAGGATGCACAAACTTTACTATCAAGGAAGAAGGCAACAGAATCAAATCTGTGTCAGCATTAGTGCTTCAATTCCATTCTGATGTTCCTACCAACCTTTCTTGTAGTTCTGAGAAATTTTCTGCCAGATCTGGAATATCAGAGCCCTTCACATGAATGCGATTTGCCCGCCTCAAAATATTTACCTGTAGATATCATTATAAAAGAATTAAGCAAGCATTTAGTTTCACTTTCAAGTGAATTGGCTTTAAAAATATACATAAAAAGTGTTAACCCCTTAAATGTCCATCAATGACCAAGACAGAATTTCTCCTAGCAATATCAAAACAATATCAAGAAGGCAAGTAATAGGAATAAAAATGTCAATCTGGGGATTAAAAGTTGATCCAATTCAAAATTCTCCAAACTCACATCATAAGAGTTGCACGGCAAGCAGTAGGGAGAATTACTAAATTAAATAGATATTAGGAGTAATAGGATTAATAAGCTACTGAGAAGAAATAAATCATGCTATTATATTGCAAAAATGTACAAAATGTGTTTCACTTTAATTCATCAATGATTTAGAATTAAATTCTCATTTGTTTTTTTTAAATAAAACAAAGAAAAATTAAAATTTTAGCTGCACATTAACATTTTTTATGATTTTAATGTAATTTATAACATGGGAAAACTTACCTTTTCTTGATGACGTTCAGCCAATCTTTCACTGGATTTCTTTTCATCAACATCACCACTGACATTTTCATTTGTTTGGGAAGCAAAAATTTTAACCTTTGAATCTGACAATGGTTGACTTCCTCTATGATTTTCATCTGTTGGCAAAAATTATGCTTCGTGGTTTATAATTCTCTCTGTATTGTGTAAGACTGTCAGCTTCCCCAAAAGGAGTAATTAATAATGATAATAATTTACCAAGAACACCTGGTGTTGCACAGTGTTAGAAAGAGAGCTGAAAGCTTGGAACCACACATGGGGCACCACCACCACAGTCTAACATAGACTATAACCCTTTAACTCTCAAGATCTGAGTGCTAATTCTCCCCTCTTGCTGCTCATATTTCCTTGTAAATTAGTTATGAGAATTTGGTGTTAGGTCAAGATAACAACTTTCACTTAACAAGTTTGATGATTCTCATTACCTGTTTGCCTGATAATGTATGGAAATCATAGGGAGAAGTTATATGTTAATCACTTCTGGGGGTAAAAGGGTTAATTCAGACATAATCAAGCTAGTGAAAGAAGTGTCAAATAAACGACAAAAATTCACCTGGAGTTGGCTCTCTTCTTCTTTTCTTTTTCTTCTCTTTTATTTCTGAAGTTTCTTCCAGCTTCCTACATTTTGATTTGATGTCATCATCACTCCTCTCAAGTTCATGGTCTTCACTTAATTGATGGTGTGCATCTTCTGTTCCTTGCAAAGTTCCAAAAAAGTCAAGAGCCTGTGCTGCATTTTCAGTGTCAAGTGAACCTTCACCAAGAGCCTGATGACACATGTTCAAACAGATTATAATTCTCAGAAGTTGAAAATAAAGACTTTAACCTTTTGAACCCTTCTGGTGACTAGCATCTAATTTCCCCTTACAGTACCACTCCTGAATCACACATTATTGTTATGAGAATAATGAAAATGATCACCAACTAAAGGAGCTCTTGATTGTTAAACAAATTCTCCTTTCAATACCTTGTGAAATGTATAAAGAACAGTTTGGAGAATATACATACTAATGTCTCAGTGTAAAAGTGTTAAATTATGCCTGGGCTCATCATCCTCTTGAGAGATATTTAAAAAATATGCCATTCCCATTCTGTGAATGTTATCTATATGCACTGTATGCAGCCACCCCCTCAAAAAAGATCTGGAAGGGGGGCTGTATACAAGCTATCCCTCGGCAACAGGTCTTAGATTGGATTATCAATAGAATACATTTGGGACAAGCGCTAGCTATAGCAGTATTTAATTAAGATTAAAATGTTACAGTAAATCAGATTTATGCTTAAAGGGAGCTTCTTTGTGAGGGGACTTATCACGGGAGGGTTTGTAAGCACGGGAACGTAAACGTCGAAGTTCACCGATATTCTTAAATTAACGGCGGAGTGAAGATAGTTGATCTAAAAGTTGTTTATGGAACCCTGACAATATTTGTGCATATTCTTCGCACCCGTGGTATATAGAGGATGTTAACTAAATGACAAAGGGGAAAACATTTACAGGCATCGAAAGAAAAGCTTCTGTCGATTTTAAGAAGATATTCGTGTTTTATTTGGATGGAATAAGTTTTATGCAACAATTACACAAGATAACCAAGGTACGTCTAAAGAACCACGTGAGGCTTCGTCGACTCAGTGTGCATCATCTAATGAACATTTAAAAGTAGTTAATTGATAACTTAAAAAAAAATATGCTATGAAAACTCACCTTAACCCTTTCTGATACATTTTGATGTTTTCTTTTGTTAAATTTCGCTCCCGCGCTCAATCTTCTGAAAAGGTCGTACGTATCCACCATATTGGAAAAGAAGTGACAAAGAAAGCGGTATTTTCTCGTCCATTATCTTCATTATGTACGGAACATGAATAAGCCCTCTCATCGGGCCTATGGGCTCGCGGTCACCAACTAGTGATTGTCATCGTTAATCTGATACACTATTCAAGAACGTTTATTAGTGAATCTACAGGATCTAGGGTATCCACGGAAAACAAAGGTTCGCACCACGGATATTTCTCTTTTTTTCAATAATTATCAATCCAAGTGCGCTCCCCTTCAATATTAGACTACGTACGAACAGTACATCTTTTTCGAAGGAGTCCGTCACGCGAGTCAAAAAAAAAGGAAAAACCCAAAAGAAGAAAAACTACTTTTCGTGTGCTACAATCTTAGAGCTTCACGAGGTGCGCTAACATCAATATTTTTCGCCGATCTTTTTTGACTTGCGCGACGGACTTCGCCGAAAAGGAGCGACTGCTCCAAGGTACCAAGCGATCCTGGACACCAAGTGAGAGATCATTGATCTAACACTTGGTTCACGTTCCGGGTTCAGAGTTGTGACACTCGATATGCGTTTAGGGGGCGACGGCCGGTCAAAGTTTTCAAAACACAAAATGATCCGTTTTGATCAGTACATTCCAAACAACCTCAGCTCGGGAAATAGTAAAAAAACATCTTTATTCCGCGGTATAAAAAGTTGTGTTACATAAATTAAATTGTAAAACGTGACAATAATTACTTATTTACTTATTTACTAGCCCGTTACATTTCATCTCTCTTTCCCTTCTTTCTCCAAAATGAACACAACCCAAATTTACCAACACCAGCGCCAATTTCCTGCCGGTATATTAACCTAAGGTGTGCACCTCGACATTCTCAGTAACAAGCCCAAGGGACCGGCCCCGGGTATTTGTCGAACAGTGGAGGGGAACCACTTACGGTCAATGTCCCTTTGAAAAAATTGGTGACTTAGTGTAAGTAGGTACGTCAAGAGTTTGCCTATCTTAAAAAAAATTTAGTCTGTACTCTTTACAAATTACAAAATGCCTTTCTAAAACGAAATCGTAAAACTTCGGCTTAAAAAACTACTAACTGTGAGGGTACTACTGACAAGCCTCTTTCCAAGGTCTTTTCTGGTCGATCGGCTGTGACACTAATACATCTAATTCTTGGCAATAGAGCGCCGGCACTCGTATGGCAAAATAGATCTATCTGCACCCACATACTTAGAACGTACTTACTTTTTTTTTTTGGGGGGGGGGGGCTAATTATTGATCTAGAGCAAAATATGCACATTCCAACTACACAAATGACAACTAAATTATGCTCGTTAAGTCTGACTGTTTTGCCTATTAAATTTAATCAAATCTGACTTACTTTCCTATAACGGAAAGTAACACACTCTACTCCCCTCCTCCTCCCAGGGGTTTCAATACCTGTTCCCATAAGCGGACGCTGATGGTGTAATAAGCGGCTGTGCCGTGGGGCGAAACTCAAGCACGAGAACCTGCTCGCAGGTTTAACGCCATTCACTCTAACATCAGCACACATATTCTCCATAATGTTCTCTAACCATTTTCTAAGGTGCTGACAAGGAGAATTTGCCTAACAAGCAAGAGCTTCTTTAGTTGGTGATGAGTTCCTTCATTCTCCTGACCTCAATGTTTCATTCAGGGGTGACATAGTAAGGAGAAATTAGATGCCAGTCACTCTTAGGGGTTAAAGGGTTAAAAGACGGCGATAAGAGGTCTTATGGGTGGTTAACCGCTGGTAACCAGTATTTCCGGCTTAAAATGAAACCCCTGCACCCCCCCCCCCCCCACGAATCAAAAACCGGTATATCTTTTTTTCCGTTCGAATCCTAGAAATAAATTGGATTTCAAAAAGGAAGTAAAAATAACTCTGTAGATTTCCCCTAAAAGCCTATAGAGTTTGAAAAATTATGTTATTTAAATCATAGTCATTGCATTATACGGTTGTAATTCGTATGAATAATAAACAAACAGATTCCACGTTCCCGTGGGCCTGTTCAGTAAATAGGTGACAGACAACAACAAAATGTGGCACGAACAAAGAAGCGGCAAACGAGGCGCAGCCGAGTGTGTCACTGATGTTCTTACCAAAATTTTCACGCCTTATGTGATCTATTACTGTACAGACCCAAGCAAACTTAGAATCAATGTTTGATTTGATAGAAAAAAAAAAGTACAATGTCGTTTACGATGACATCATCTATGCGTCTATCCTCAAACAGATCACAAGTAAGAACCAATCAACAGGCGTGTATGATATAAATGAATCTTCACATCCCCACCCCTACCCCACTCCTTATTTTTGACCGACGACCGTTCCCTAGGTACAAATTTCTTTCTCTTCCCCAGCCTTCAAAGATGGCACCCATAATTTTCGTTCAGTAAAACACTGAGCACTCGCTCGCCAAAATTACGCCTGGAATTTATGTTTGTTAAGGTAACAAATTCACACTTGTGGAAAACCAGCTGTAATGGTAACATTTCTAGCTGGAATTATCATCATTCTCGTAGCTGCAAGTCAGGTTTTTCTTTGATTTGCTACGAGTATTTTTCGTAATATTTTTATTGAAGGGTTTTATAGGATTTGATTTAAATATATGATTCAAACAATGCACATCACCTAGAGTGCAATTGCGCACCGTCATTTTATCTCATTCTTTCTGTTGCTGAGCGCTATGAGATAAAGTCAAGAAAAATGTGTCTGAGAAACGGACAAAATGAACAAAGCGAGTGAGAAGTCTTGCTCGCCCATTTTGTCAGCCTCGTCTCGGTTCTTGTGTGTTGTACTATCATTTTCAGAAAAGAGACTGCGATGATTATAACAGAAAAGAAAGAGACTGCCAAGATTATAACCGCTAAATTAACGTCGAACCTCCAACGAGAGAGACACTCAACTAGGTCACCTAACAGAGACGGTTACTGTTGAGATTAAACACGGATTGCAGAAAAGGAAGGAAAGGAAAATTTCAATAAGGTTCTAAATTTAATAAGAGCTATGTGGGAATAAATTAGCTAAGAGTAAACTAGGTCTAGATAAAAACTCACTGGTGATTTGTTATTTTCGATTAAGCGTCGTAAGCAAGGCGAGATTGTCGTGGTTCGCCATCCTCTAAAACGATAAGACACAAAAACAGAGGCTCTGTTTTCTTCTTTTTGCGACTCGATCATTCACGTTTTTCCGCGATTGAAGCAGTTTTCTTGTTTTTATTTTGAGATCAGTTTGCCTCCTTGTGATATTTTACTTTCATCTGATTGGCTGGCGTGATTAGTTTAGTTTCGGTTTTACGACACTTAATCGAAATGCGCAATAATTAAAACCTCACCACACCCCACACCCACCCACCCCCTCCCCCCCCCCCCCCCGTGATAATCATTAAAAATACTTCTTACTGGCAGAGGTCTGTGTATCCAAAACTGGGCTCTTCATCACGTACTCGTACATCTCTTCAAATTCCTCGATGAAATTTTCCGCTAGTTTACCGGGATCAGCAAGTACAGCTTTATCGGACAATACGCCCATGCGCAGTGTACCTGCATAACTAAACACTGCAATGGACATGCCTGTATCACTGACCAATGGGGGCCAAGCTATGGCGGTCTTCACCTCCTTCCCACCAATTTCAAATGGCGTCAGAGGGCCGGGCACATTGCTCAGAATCAATGAGCAGTGTCGCTTCAGCGAAAACGACGAAAAACGGCCAATGAAATCAGGCAATCTCCCAATGATGTGAGAGTAGATGAGCCCGAAGATACGCCAATCTGATGAAGATTTCAAGTTGTCCATTCTCCGTTTAGTTTCTAGCAAACGCTTAAACGGGTCAGCCAGTCCCACGGGAAGGTTGTAGAACAAGCCAGTGGAGTGATTCTCGAGCGGTATGTTGTCACGCGACAGGACTTTAGGGGAGCGCGTGTTGATGGTGATGGCGATCTGGATGTCATCTGGGTGTTTTGAACCCTGCGATTTGAGGTAGCGACGCAACGAACCCGCCAAACAGGTTGAAAGAACATCATTGACGGTCGTTCCTGGGCAGAAACACGAATTAATATGATCAGATTCAATTTGAATGTCGAAAATAATCCGCGATTGCATTGGGTTTGCTATTCATTTCTCTGTGATTGATCCAGAAAACTCGTTCCACCTTCTTAACCTTTTACACCCTAACATCAGTATGCACATTCTCCCTACTGTTCTCATTACATTTCCTACCGTGCTGACAAGGAGAGTTTGTTGAACAATCGAGAGCTTTATTACTTGGTGATCATTTCCTTTACTCTCATGACCTTAATGTGTGGTTCAGGCGTAATATTGTAAGGAGAAATTAGATACTAGGCGACAGTGGGTTTTGGTGTAAATTAACTTTTCCCCAGCGTTAGCCATGAGATTCTTGACAACGGTTTAGAAAAAAAGTGTTGAGCGGAGTTGAAAATGGATTAGAACGCAGATTTGATGAACAACGGTTTAACTCAATTTTGATAAATATCCTTATATTTCTGCGACCGGTATTTCTTGGCTACTCCACCCGTCCCTTCTGATCGAGAGCATAGAGCAAGCTAAGGCAATGGAAATAAAACTGGTATGCTATTACGGAGTATTGCGATGTGGATTATTAATTTTTTTTCACAGCCGCTAGCTTAGAGAACAAGTGTGCTTATTCGCGTGTCCATTCGAACGCGAGGTGAGCGCGAAGAGGGAGTCATGCGTGATGGATATACCGATAAACATCATCTTAATTTAGACAAAAAAAAAATTTAAAGCTACATCACGTGTCGTACTACATCAAGCGAGAAACACACGTGGGGGAAGAGCCCCCTCTCTCGCGCTGACTAACCCTTTGCGTTTTTCTCGCTACAGCATCGCGCTTTCATCTGCTAGCAAGAAAAACGCCAAAATATAACCCTGTTCTGCAAGCTTCAAATTTCATCCAGCAAAGCCGATCACCTCAATGTAAGAAATGAAATATATTGAATTGTGTATGTGTTGCCACCTGTTCGTGCC